ATTAATATTTAATAATGATCTACCATTTAATGTTTATGCGAATCAGAGACGGTCAAGACGTACGACAGAATGAGGCTGATGTGTTTCCTTTCCTCCAGCTTTTAGTCTATGCTAAGCTAAGCTAATGCTTTCCTACTCAAGCTAAAACGCACCTCTATCTCTCTCTTTCAGAGGCAGACGGTCGAGCTGATCCCCATCACCAGGGTGAACTACGAGTGGAAAGACAACACCCACGCCTACTATGTGTACGGCAACGAACACAAAGTCAATGCTGATGACTATCCAGCAACCTGCTGCTGCGTCATCCTGTAGACTGTTCTCTTCTTTTAACATCAGCGCATGAAATGTTTATTAAAATAATTGTTTTCATTTGATTTATGAAAGCCAAAACAGCATCCCACATCATACCAAAGTAAACATGGTGGTGGGAGTGAATTAAATTAAGGATTTGAAGTAGCTTAGTCAAAGTCCAGACTGAAATTCATTTCAGATGCTTTGGCATAGTCTTAAATATGCCAAAATCACGAGTTAGAATCTCAGTGGTCAGGGGTCACGCTTTCTGAAAATCTTTGTCTACAGTCGCCAGTATTTTAGCATGCCATGTACCCCTCTGGACTTTTTTATTCTTTTCTTTTTCATGTTTATTGAAGCATATCATACAGTGTCTGTTGCATTTGCTAAACATCCTACATATGTAAAAGAAACGAGGATCAATATAAAGGTTAATTATTGCTTAGCTCTAAGTCTCTATGAAAAGCTTCTATATTTGCTTTTTTATTCACATGTTTTTCTGACAGTCTGTCTTGTATTTAAATGCATTCTGGGAGAAGGAAGGAAGGAAGGAAGGAAAAGGGCTCAGTTCATATGGCCTGAAGCGAGTTGGTGACTGAATGACATATTAGTAGCTCGACTCCGTTTTCTGCTCACCTCACTTTAGCAGACCAATATGGGGTCCGCATTACAGCTACGCCAATCCGTCTGTCAATCTGCCACAGTGTCTTATTCATCTACTGTGAAAAAGACAATGAGATACTTGAACTCCTCCACTTAAGGCAGCAACCCTGAGTTCACCATGCACTCCTTCCTTCTATAAAAAATATCTGATGTGAATTTTGGGGGGTTGTAGGTGCACCTTATCAGCATTTGAAAATGGTAAAATATGAAAGATTTCAAACATTACAGTTTTATAATCAACTGTAATCAGTTAATTAAATGATTGAATGTGTCCATAAGTATTTTCCAGGTGCACATCTGACAATAGGAGTCACAGTAAGACCCCTCACATCTTTAGCTTACATAATTGCAACCATAGACTGTATATAAAAGCTCATGCTAAATAGCTTTTTAAACTCTTCCAGTTGCTAAATGTAGTCCAGATGTAAAGACATGTATAAGCAAATGCCCGTTAGCTGCCTTTCTCTGTCAGCTCAGTAGACTTTTATGATGGAGTTAAGTTTAAGTTGCTAATCTCTGGTCTTACTGAGTACAGCATGATGTTGCATTGGTAATTATAGACACCACTACTGTCAGAAAGGAGGATAAAACACGATATACCTCAAGCCAGTGTGTGATGCGTCTCCTTTCTCAGGTATTAAAGCACCAAGACAGCAGCAGTCATAATCATCAATTTAAGGCTTTGAGTCTTCACATTGGAACTTCCCTAATCAATGCAGAACATTGACTATATCCATCTATTAGATATCGTATGTCTGCAAAAACTAAAGAAATACACAAAACCACACAACCCTTTAGACTGCCTTTCTTCAAGACTGCAAAAATCCTGTAGGAGGCAGTGTCCGACTCAGAGGGTCTGCTCTCTGCTGGCTGTTACTTATCTATGATATTCAGGATGAAATTATTTCTGTTTAAAATAGTCTACTTTTAATGTTTAATCAGTCATAAAAATATTTTTATGTGCATTTATTTTTTTTATGTGCATTTACTTAAATATGTATTCTGTTAACCATTTGAAGATTTTAGTTTTGTTTTTAGTTAAACAGGTTACACAGTTCTTATTTTGATAATATAACCAACAACTTTTCTGTTTTATAATTTTGTTTCTTCTGAATGTAACCCCTAATGCCAGATTGTTCTAGAAAAATATGCATTTAAAATATGGACATAACCATTTAGTAAGTGGAATGCTCTTTTATCTGCATAGCCTGCCTTACCTTCATACAGGTACATTTTTGCTCATAACCTGGTGGGCCTGATCATGTTATTACATGTTATGATGTGTTATCACTGTGGTTTATTAATGGTATGTTAATCCTTAAACTGAAAAATAAACTCTGAGACTCATCTGCTTCTTTCCCATATTTCCACCAAGCTGGGGATGCATAAAAATGATGATAAACAGAAAGAAGTGAAGATTTTGTAATATGTGATCCTTTTGTCCCTCTGTGGGGGGTTACTCCCACTAGGTTTATATCTGGGACTCTCCACCATTTGACCTTAGAACTGAAGAAGCTTCTCGGATGAGAGGTGAAACGTCTTCAAGTAACTTAAAGAAGTCCAGACGCTTTTCTTTGCAAGCTCCTTTGACTATTAGGCAAGTTGTATTTTTGAGGAATAATTTTATTATTGAACAACAACCATGTTCTCAATGAACCCAAAAAACTCATTAATATCAAAGCTGAATGTTTTTGGAAGTAGTTTTTAGTTTGTTTTTAGTTTTAGCTATTTTAGGGGGATATCTGTGTGTGCAGGTGACTATTACTGTGCATAATTATTAGGCAACTTAACAAAAAACAAATATATACCCATTTCAATTATTTATTTTTACCAGTGAAACCAATATAACATCTCCACATTCACAAATATACATTTCTGACATTCAAAACAAAAACAAATCAGCGACCAATATAGCCACCTTTCTTTGCAAGGACACTCAAAAGCCTGCCATCCATGGATTCTGTCAGTGTTTTGATCTGTTCACCATCAACATTGCGTGCAGCAGCAACCACAGCCTCCCAGACACTGTTCAGAGAGGTGTACTGTTTTCCCTCCTTGTAAATCTCATATTTGATGATGGACCACAGGTTCTCAATGGGGTTCAGATCAGGTGAACAATAAGTGGCCATGTCATTAGTTTTTCTTCTTTTATACCCTTTCTTGCCAGCCACGCTGTGGAGTACTTGGACGCGTGTGATGGAGCATTGTCCTGCATGAAAATCATGTTTTTCTTGAAGGATGCAGACTTCTTCCTGTACCACTGCTTGAAGAAGGTGTCTTCCAGAAACTGGCAGTAGGACTGGGAGTTGAGCTTGACTCCATTCTCAACCCGAAAAGGCCCCACAAGCTCATCTTTGATGATACCAGCCCAAACCAGTACTCCACCTCCACCTTGCTGGCGTCTGAGTCGGACTGGAGCTCTCTGCCCTTTACCAATCCAGCCACGGGCCCATCCATCTGGCCCATCAAGACTCACTCTCATTTCATCAGTCCATAAAACCTTAGAAAAACCAGTCTTGAGATATTTCTTGGCCCAGTCTTGACGTTTCAGCTTGTGTGTCTTGTTCAGTGGTGGTCGTCTTTCAGCCTTTCTTACCTTGGCCATGTCTCTGAGTATTGCACACCTTGTGCTTTTGGGCACTCCAGTGATGTTGCAGCTCTGAAATATGGCCAAACTGGTGGCAAGTGGCATCTTGGCAGCTGCACGCTTGACTTTTCTCAGTTCATGGGCAGTTATTTTGCAACTTGGTTTTTCCACACGCTTCTTGCGACCCTGTTGACTATTTTGAATGAAACGCTTGATTGTTCGATGATCACGCTTCAGAAGCTTTGCAATTTTGAGACTGCTGCATCCCTCTGCAAGATATCTCACTATTTTTGACTTTTCTGAGCCTGTCAAGTCCTTCTTTTGACCCATTTTGCCAAAGGAAAGGACGTTGCCTAATAATTATGCACACCTGATATAGGGTGTTGATGTCATTAGACCACACCCCTTCTCATTACAGAGTTGCACAGCACCTAATATGCTTAATTGGTAGTAGGCTTTCGAGCCTATACAGCTTGGAGTAAGACAACATGCATGAAGAGGATGATGTGGACAAAATACTCATTTGCCTAATAATTCTGCACTCCCTGTAGTTTTTGGCCTTCTGTACTGCTAATTGTCACCAATGAATTGTATTTTAGATAACAGTATAAGCTAAAAATGTTAGAAAAAAACCCCGAAAATTTTGTTTACATTTTTTGATGTGATATTTTTGTGTGAATTTTGCAAGAGAAGTCAGATATACGAACCACATAAATGTCAGTTATGCTTCTTTTGATGTGAAATGAAAGTGAATTGTCTTCTGTCATGTTTTTTTGACACCGTGGCAGCCCCTTTTTCACACATCTGCAAATACTTGTTGCACAAGAGCGTCAAAGAGATTGTGAAACAGTCCTCAAAATTATCATCAAGCTACCTTTAAACTGGTAACTATACATATACATATTTAGTTGAGTTAACTTAACGATTTAATGCATTAGTTTTTGAGATTTTTTCATAAGTGGCAAAAGTACCGCATCCGAATAAAAGTTATTTCTTAATGGACATCCCATTAATAACAACAGAGATTTATCAAATCTAATTTAGGCAGAAATCTTTAAATTCAAAAGCACAGAGTTTCCCAAAGTGTGGGGCCCGCCCCCTAGGGTGGGCGCAGAGCCATTGCAGGGGTTGACAGGGCTCCCACACAAACGCAAAGCAGGAGATGAAGCATCGCCAAATATGTTTCCAAACCAACTTCCTTCCAAGCCAAAGACTAGAAAATGGTGAAGCATATCTACCCTTTGGCTTCAGCTGCACGAGTGCCAAGGTAGGTCTCCCCTGCAGAATTGGTTTTCCCTGCGTCAGGAGCACGCGCTGGGCTGTCCAAATCACAGACAAACTGTATCCCTAATTCTTCAATTAGGGATACAAAAAGGTTTGGGAACCACTGAAAAGCGTTTCATAATTTCATAATTATGAGGTTTTTATAATTATTTAAGTGCACCTGCGAATACACTGTTTTCAGTCACTATGTTTGAGTGATTTTCTTATCTGTATTTAACCAGGGCAAAAAATATCCATTGAGATTAGAAAATGTCTTTTGCAAGAATGTTGTGGCCAAGATGAGAGATCTGACACCCTCTAGTTGATAAAGATGAAAATTACATGCTGTGAGTCTAAATTGCTAACAGTAAAAACTGCAAAGTACCCAGAAATCTCACAGGCCTCTGAGCATTTGTTAAAAGAACATCAAACCTCCAGGATTCTGCAGCAGGTAGACCAACACACAGCCCAAGAGAAAACTAAAAAGGCATCTTCTGATATCCTTGTC